TTGATTTGTAAATGATTTTCTGTATATAAATATCATAATATATTTTTCTATTTTTCTCTCTCTCTCTCTGGTGTCCTGTGAACGCTTTCTAATTTATTTAATATATATAATAATAATAATATTTACTATCTAATTGCCTCTCCTACTCAATGTTAGATATCATTTTCAATGAACTTAAATTTCTTAATTCATATTTTGTACTCGTCAGAATTTATGAATTTATTTTCATATATTATTAGATCTCTCTCCCTGTCTCCACCTCTGGATCTCTCCCTGTCACCCCGTCTGACCCTCTTTCTCTCTCTCTATCTGCCTCTCTCTCTGTCTTTCTGTTTCTTTGCCTGTCTGTTTCTCTCTCCCTGTATGTTTCTCTCTCTCTGTATGTTTCTCTCTCTCGATCTCTGTATGATTCTCTCTCTCTCTCTCTCTGTATGTTTCTCTCTCTTTCTGTATTTTGTACTAAAATCCTAGTAATTTTCTTGAATTCGAAAATGTTGTTATTTTAACATTTCAAGTTACTCCTGATTACAGACTTAAATAACGCTATGCCGATGTCTGCTGATGCCAGAACCAGAACCGGGAGATTCTTGAAGTAAATAGTACAAATGAAAATATATTTCAAAGTTGGTCAACTTGACTTAACTTAATTAATTTCTTCTCTTTAATTTAAAAATGTATTATTTACTCGGAGCTCAATTATTGATGGCTCGATAAATATCGTAAAGTATGTAAAAACACACACACTCATTCGCCCTTTCTCTCCCCCTCACTCACACACACATGCATATCATTATAGCTCACACATATGCTGAGATACAAGCCCGTATCTTGGAAAAAGTTAATGCACGATAAATGCTTGTCTTATGTGCGTGTTCGTATTTATGTTTATAACGCACTTTGCAATCGGAGCACGTATCGTTCACGTTTGGTGATTATAAAGTTTTAATGAATACGCAACACATCCTGCCATTCGAAGCACAGCTCCTGCTCGATCTCCAGCTCCAATGGCAATTGAGAGCTGGATGCACGTTGCTGCTGCTGCTTGTTTCGATGCCCGTTCGTTGTGGATACAGCAACTGCAACGCCAATAGCAACGGCGACGGCATTTTATTTTTACAACGACTTCGCACAAAGCTCTGTGCCTGGCAGGATATTAACACGTACATGTGTACCCACGCAGGATGTGCGAACATCCAACGTCCTGACAATGCATAAATATGAACGACTCCAAGAAGACAGAGGACACAGAGAGAATAGAGTTGTCGCACACCCTTTTTCCTGTATTCTGCCATTCAATTGGCTTGCGTGTCGTGTCCCTGAGTTCTTTACGTTCGACCTCTACGGCCGTATTCATATCCTGTCTTTCAGCTGAGCAAATGTCCCAGGGATTGTCATTTGGGATCGTTAAAGCGCACGCTTTGTCTTCGCAAATGTCATTTGCGTATTTAATATTCGCAAAACATGCAAAATATTTCAAGACGCGCCACAAAAGTATTGACGCTCTGCTTTTCCTTGTGTATTAAGCCGAGTTTCGATATGTTTCTATAAAGTAGTCATAACTACTATATGCAGTACTGCTGGACAGACGGTCGTGAAATTCTTTTAAGTAATTTATAAAAACTTTTATTAAAATTGGCTCAGAGTTGCTCTGTCTTTAGCTTCAGTTTAGAATTTTCACAAAAAAAATAGTTTTCAGTTCAATCTGTTAGGCAAATGCTTACTTATTAAAAACATTTTTCTTCCTTAGCCATTTATAAATCTATAAAATATAAATATTTAGGTTCTAGAATCAAGTTGCGAATGCTTATAAATAAATATTTTTATTATTTTACATTAATTCATAATATTTATTTAAGTGCAAATCGGATCAAATTGGATTTATAATTAATAAGTAGAGCTTTCGTAGCTCGAGTTTGTTTATTTTAATTGTTTCATTTATTTTACTATTTATATATTTTTTTTGTTCCGATTCGGCAGCCTTTTAAGTAAATAAAATTACATTAAATAAAATATAAAGTATGTCTAGATAAAATAATGCAAATATATTAAATATAATTAGATTAATAACTTAATTTAGTAATTAATAGTTTTCAGCACTCATAGAAGTCTTATCAGCCATGTGGATAATCAATTTAAATGTCAACTGCATGACCAGCGTCGTCGTCGTGGTCGACAAGCAGCCGCCTGTTACCTGTGTTACCTGTTCACTGCATACACTAATGAGCAACAACAACAGCAACGACAACGAAAACGACAATGCCGACAAGTTGCAGTGCTGAAAATTAATTACACTGCGGATTGGCTGGCATGTTAGCTGTTAATTACGACCTTTTTCGCCTCTGAGTGTGCCGACAACAAATGAAAGTTATGGCCGAACTCAACGTTGGTATTGGTCCAGCATTGAGCCGGCTGCAGCGGCGGAGGAGTGGCCCAAAACGAGTTTCTTTGTCTCGGCTATCTGCGTCGCGTCGCATCGCAGCACTCCCCATCGCGCTGAAGTCGTCTTGTTGTCTTCTTATTATTTTGTGTTCATAAATCCAATCAACGTCCCTTTTAATGGCGTTTTGCTCATGAATCCATTTTATTTTTTCTCTGTTTCGTTGTATTCGTTCAATTCGCGGTTGTTTCTCTCTATTTTCAGTTTTATCTTAATTGAGCGACGGACCACACGTGAGTCAAAGTCTATATGCATATGCCTGTCTGTTCTGTGAGTATCTATAATGTAGATATCATGGACAAGTAAAGCTGGATATATAACTAGATCAATGCATTAATATTATTTTGGCTAAGTTAAAAGGCTCTAGTTTAGGCTTTTGTTGATTATTGCAATTGGCCAAAAAAGACTACAAGCAAACAGGAAGAGCGCAAATGGTCTGTATAGTTATTTGAAGAGCCTCACACATCTTTATGAGCCTACTTCTCTAACGATCGATTGGTTCGTCATCGCGGATTCTATGTGAATTCTTTATATTGCACAGACATCTGAAACAAATCAAGCCATGATGCATAAACCTTGTTACTATTGATGAGATGCATTAAATCTACCTTATCTAAAATTAAAATAAACAAACTAGATAATAGTATTTATGCAAGAATTAAATGGGTAAAATATTTTAATTGTTTTGAGACAGCTTAAAAATAAATGAAATATTTTAGTTAGATTTTCATATTTTACTTTAAAAGTATTTTCAGTTCATACGAGCTGTTCATATTGGCCTATGCAAGGATTTAATTCACTTTTGAATGGCGCATTTGGCAGGACATTAAAAAGCCACCAAAACAGAATCAACACGACATTTTGTGCCATTTGAAATGGGCTCAGAGCGGGGTTGGTAGTTAGCTAGTGTCCTCGAGTGTCCAACCAGCTGAATCTTGATTAGAATTCTTAAATATTTATAAAAAGAAACAACAGCAACAATCGCTGGGCTATGCAAACAGGTAGGAACTGTTCCTACTCGTGCCCCAAGCATCCGGAATTTTGACTTCAGCCGCGCTGCTACCACGCCCAAATGGGTGGCGCATATGGGCGTAGAGCATTTGCATAGAACGCAAATAAATGAAACTACAGTTAGTCGTGCAGGAATCGGGTTATGAAATTAACATTTGAAGCTTCTGGAGCTGAAGCTAACGCTAAGGCCTGCCCCTGTGCGCTGTGCGCCTGCTGAGCCAGCATTTGCCAGTTGGCCGCAACTTGAAATGCGAAAAGTCGACAAAAAGTCTAAAAAGTTTTCGGCCCACCCATTTCCCGGAGGGCGGTGCGGTTCGGAGCTCTTGCGAAACGAAATGAAATTTTCAGTTCAGTTGCCAGCAGCCTTCAACGCCTCCTGGGCTGAGCTTCTAGATTGGAATGGGCTATTCTACTGAGCTGCATTGACGCTGGCATCCAAACAGAAACTGGGACGTTGGCAGCAAAAGCAACAGCAGCAGCATCACCAAGTATACAGTCGACACATTTAACGATTATTGCCGGCCATTAAAAATAACAAGCAAAAGTTTTGCGCATAAAGCCGCTTCGGGGATTCATTCAGCGAATCCAGAGGCGAGCAAAACTCTTTAGCCGAATCCTTTCTCAATTGCAATTGTTGATCCTTTCGCAGCTGTGAGGTCTTCGGATTGTATCCTTGTCACAGCTCTTTGCAATCAAATCGCAAAACTTTAAGTTCAATTCAAGCAAAATTCGATTTGCATCGCCAAAATTGTTTTCATCTCAGTAAAAGTTTTTCGTGATAAATTTATCAGTAAGTTTATTTCCTTAGCTAACAGTTCCTGCTTTGAATCCACCTGTCAAATATATATAGTCAAATATATCTGTCTTTTGTGTATTTTTATCACTTTTACACATTCTTTCTACGTTCAATGGAAGTCTTACTAATTATCATGGTACTATGCTTAGATCTGAAACCGAGATGTATAATTTTATTTAAGTACTTATTGAACTATTAAATGTTCATTGAGTCTGACTTTTATTATTTTACTCGTTAAGTTGTGTGATTGTAAGACTCACCAATTTAAATTATACGTTACTTTATTTTTTGCATAGCAATAAGCTTTGTATTGTAAGCAAAAAACGTTTACATGTGAATGACATATTTGCAGCTATCGATTAATTAAAAATATACAAACTACCATTTTCTCTGTCTAACAAAAAACTTTATTGAGGTATTAATCGAGTTATCGTTCATGGTCACACTAAGCTTGTGTTTAAAAACGATATTACAAATTGACAACATATACATGAAAAATGTAATAGCAAGTGATATATTCCATCTCAGAACGCTGCTAAGTGAATATGAAGTGAACACACATCTGAAAAATAAGTGAAGCCTCCTTTTACATAGATGCTCGTATAACAGATAGAACTTATTAGCAAGTGACCTACTCTTGCATTTAGCAGAGACTTCAACCATTTTAGTGCTCTTTCAGCCAAAGCGCCACCTAGCATTCGAACTTTTAACATAACGGAATGCTCCTCAAATTAACAGAAATAAATTATGTTTATAACTAGCTAAATACAGTCACACTGGTCACATACTAAAAGTACACAAATAATTAAATAAACCTTTTTGCAATAACTACACATCATGGACACTGTGAAAGAGCTAATACAATTTATACAACCCAATCAGCGCCTGGATCTTAAAGCAGTGGCTTTAACACATGTGCTAAGTAGGTGAATGCTCAGAGCAAGCGCAGCTTCAATATTGTGCGGCAAACGCAACACGTGCTCAATATATAAGGCAGATTATTGTAAATAGTATGTATATAAATTTCAATGTTCTATGATTTTATAGGTTTGACTGGCAGTACAGAAGGCAAGGATGCAATACTCTCGCTAGATGACATGCTAATAGCTATTTTCGGACTGACGTTGGATGCCAGTGCAACAATAGCAAAGGATGCAGTTCTCAGCCTGATAAATCTCACGGCAGAGGAGGCAGGAGCAATCAAAGTGTTTGAGCTGGCTCTGCAAGTGCAGCCCGTGAGTTGGTGTCGAACATAAAGTAAACTACTCACTAATCACTGAAATTTACAGCGCTTTGCCATTGTGGATGTGGCGGCCAAACAAATATGCGACGAGCAAGCAGAGCTTGCAGATGCCTGGAGCATGGTGCTCAGCAACTTGACCCGCGTCGAGTCGCTGGTGCCGGCCATACTAGACGCATTGGAAAAGGTGTTGCCACAACTAGCCAAAGCGTTTGCCAAATTAGACTATAATAAGAAAAAATCCAAGCTTCATTACTTGGCGCCTATATTTTGTAATCTAACTCAGGTGTCGCGGGGTCGAGAACTCTGCTGCCAGCCAAAGTATCAGCTGCTGGAGAAGTTGCTACCCTTTGCCTCGTTTGAGGAGAGCGTAGTGCGGCGCGGCGGCACCATAGGCATCATTAAAAACATATGCTTTGATGTAGTGTATCATGATGTCATATTGAATGAACAAGATGATATTTTGGTTGCCATTCTGCAGCCGCTGTGTGGACCAGAAGAGTTCAGCGATGAAGACAATGAGAAGCTACCCATTGAACTGCAGGTGAGCATTTAAACCGACTGATCGAGCGGGTATGTTTTATTATCTTTTTCGTACACTCTTTGTAGTACCTGCCAGAAAGCAAGACGCGTGAAATTGATCCGGATCTGCGCAAAATGCTGCTAGAGTGCCTGTTGCAACTCTGTGCTACAAGACGCTGTCGCGAGGTGCTCCGCGCCAAGGGTGTCTATGAAATACTGCGAGAGTATCACAAATGGGAAGCGAAAGTAGGACGAGATAGCGAATGCTTGCTGGCTTGTGAGAACGTTGTCGATATTCTGCTCAAGTGATTATGATTTTGGAAACATATTCCTTATAAATTCTAAGCTTAAAACTTTTCTTTCACAGAAAAGAGGAAGAAATTGGGTTGGACAATTACCATAATATAGAAGTATCAGCAGATCAGGCTGATAAGTTTATCCAGGATGATGCTGCCTATGTTAAGACTCTCTTAGATTAATGTAACCCCCTCCCAGACTGTAAATATGCGTAGGCTAAGTTAAACACGTGTGTAATATTGAAATTTCAATATATGTATGCAGTTTTTATTCAGAATTTTTATAGTTTTCTTGTGAGTGTGTGTTTTATCTTAGTCAGCGCTAGAAAAAGTTGTACGCTCGCAATTAAATGCAAAAGAAGAAACAATTTTAATTCAATTCGATTAGTTTTAGTAGCTTCGTTATCTAGATTTTCGCTTGCGCTTAAATATAAATATAAACTTCTTAGGTGCTAAATACATTTGCATTCAAAAATGTTTAGCAACTGTTTGCCATGAAACTTTCAATGTTTTATTTATACACTTTGTTTGGTCGTTCATTATATATAGCTATGCATATTTTGTATCTTGTATTTTGTATGTAAACTGTGTTGAAGAATTTCAATTATTTCTGTGATAAGCCAATCAGGTGCTTAGTTAATAAAAACTTTTTCATTTTGATTAAATACTTTTGTTGCATTGCAGGCAAGCGATTTCAGCAAAATTTTGTTATCTTATCAAACGCGGGTGCAAATTCTTTTTGTTTTCTTTTTTTTTTTATTTGAATGCGGAAACCATTGCAAGCTCGCTTGGTATAAAAAGAAGTGATTCAATTTGAAACAGAAAAAGTTACAAAATGTAATTATCTTCGTACGTTTACTATTAACAATGCTCATTTATAAAATGCTATTGCTGTCCTCTTCAGCTGTGCACGTAGATTTAGCTTGGTCCTATTGGTTTATCATTTTCATTTTCATTTTCATTTTCATTTTGATTTATGTACGTAAAATGTAGTTAGACTTTTAATTAAACATTTAGGCTTAATGTAATTTTATCATGTCGAAAACTTAGTGTTACATAGCTATATATGATTTTAGTTGTTAACTAAGAACTGCTGTCGCATTAGGTTATCTGTCCACAACTTCCTCCCGGCCTAATAATAAACACAACTGCGAAACTGCGAAATTCGGTCATAAATGCCACTTATGATAGCAAATTCGATAACTAAGAATAGATTAAACAGTACAGAACTTAGCCAAGTATAATTTTGACTACGAGACAATAAGATAAGGCGGAAGAAAAGTTTCGACAAAACTTCAATTTATTGTAAAAAAATCTACCTACATTTGTTAACAGACGCTTATCGCATGAGGCGTGACAGAACCTCGTACCCAAATATCTTGACCTCTTCCGAGTCGAAGGGTATGTAGAGGCAGCCGTGGGAGGGGTGGACCTTGCCCACGGTAAGGCTGGCGGCATGGTAGCCACGTCCAGCGTATAATGTCTCTCCATCGCTAGTGTGACCCACTTGAACGGCACCGGGTGGCACCTCGCCATTTTCGGCAGGTAACCACACGTAGTTCTGGCCACTCAGAGCCTCGTAGTCCTCTAGCTCAATCTCATGGCCGCCATAGGCTACGTAAGCCTTGCCCTTGTTCGGTATGATCTTAGCCGGCAACAAATCGTTGTTGTAAAAAGCACGGCCAATGAATATAGTACCGCCATCGGAATCATGGCCAGCAACAACGGCATCTTGTGGCAAAGCGCCATGGCTGTAGTGTAACCAACTGTGGACTGCGAAGGATCAGTTTAACGGTTTAAGGGTTAACTTATCGAATCATGCTCCGTTGCTTACCAGACATTATGTTCGGCTTTCGAATTGTTACTAACTGTTTGTTAGCTAGACAATATTGATTATGGAAGTCTTTCCATTTGGAATCTTATCTGAGTCGGTATTAGGCAACGGTCTGACTCGAGCGATAGCGTAGTTAACAATCGGTTGATGAATCAAGCTCTCTATATGTGAGGCAACTATTGAAATCATAAAATAAATATGTTACAGATGAGGTTTACCAATGGAGCTATGATTCAACTCTTGGCAACATTAAAGCACTTCAAATGAATCATGCTCGAATCAGTTTTAAAAGTAATTATCGACTTGATGAAATATTAATACATTTTGCCCGATTAAAAGTGAGTGTAGCCGTAAATATAGATTGTTACGCAGATTTTATTCTTTAACTCTAACTAGATGGCCGTTCATTTAAGACTTTCTTACATAATTGTAATTGTTAATTAATTTTTGCCTAAAATTCAGCAATTCCTAACGAATGAATTAATCTATTTACAGTATTCGAACAATAAATACACAGGTGAGTTGTAAGTAAAAATGTAAATATGTTCCTATTCGCTAAAAATAATTGCAATTGAATTTGAATTCACGTTTCTCTTTTTTTAGCTTTGATTTTGACTCGATATTTACCTAGCAGCGCTTAGCGTTTTGTTTTGTTTGTATTTTAAAGGTAAATAGTTTAAATTAAATTGTTTGATATTTGTTTGGTTTTTCTTCCATCAATCATTGTTAAATAGTTGTTAAATATTCATTTATAATCACATAATTGCTTGATGAATTCCATACATGTTTCACATTGTTTTTATCTTCTTCTTGTGTTTCTGCCGTGTTATCCTGTGTTATCCTTGTGTGCAATTATTGTTATGTGCAATCGTAGACACTGAGAGAGTGAGAGAAATAGATCTAGACACACAATAGCTGGTGAGGGAAAGAGTGAGAGATACGGATAGAGCAACGTATGAAATGTGTACAAATAATTTCGCGCAGCTGAATTATGTTAAATGCTTTTTTCACGTTCAGTTTAGCTTAATCCCTCCATCTTTCATGGGTTGCTAGTTACAGCTGTATTTGCTGTTCCTTGCCATTATTATTATTGTTGCTATTGTTGTTGTTGTTGCTGTTACTGCTACCTTGCAGTCGCCAAAAGCAGCAACGCAATGCTAAGCAGCAAGGATTCCACGTTCTTGGCGTGACTGCCATTGCAGGCATCCGCATCACTGCAGCTCTGAAGGCAGCCGTGTACGTATCTGAAAGAAATGGAAGACGGGTAGCTCAGATAATGTTAAGTTATGGCTGCGACAATGGGAATATATTAATGTCAGCATGTTCAGCGCAACGGGAACATACGAATTTTGTTAAATCTCAACTGCACACTTTTTAATATACGTCACGATGCACGAGAGAAAAGTGGGAATGTCACGGTAAAATGGCTAAACCATGGGACTTGCATCACTTATGTGCATAAGCGAGATAAGCTGCGCAACCCAGTTGGCTTTACTCTAATTTGTATGCTAAGTTAAATAGGATTTATATTAAATGCAAAGTAACTCTGTACTTTCTGCACAGGCGTGAATACTTGAGCTTTTACAAGTTTTTAGAAGCTATAGATGTTGCCTTTTGGAACAGTTAACAGACAATGTCTTGCCCTTCCGTTCACATATTATGTTAACTGCAAGTAACAGCATTACTTTAACATTATCTTTATCGTAACACATATCGTTTATTGCAAATCACGGGCGAAATTGCCTGACTACCTATCACGTAATTGTATCAGTTCATAAAAAGTTATAGCAAATACAAACGTGCGCAGTTTATGGACTTATTAAGATACCTGTGCAAATCACCTAATAAAGCTTCACGCATGTCATAACAAAGGATATATGTATATATAAACATATATATACACGTTTTATGTATCTGGCCAGTTCACGCACCTGTTGTCATAGTAGAATTTTCCACAATGCGACATTCTTATAATCTCTGTGTCTGTTGTGAGTGTACCGCTGTCCAGGGCGCAGCCTCGCACCGTTATCGTCTCACCGTTGTCATCTGTGCCAAACGCAGTTCAATAATATTATCAATTCACTTTCAGCTGTATATCATATTTTATTATTACCGTAATAGCCGGCGATCTTAATGCAGGCAGTGGCTGGGAAGAGGCCATCGCGGCCCTTGCGTCCGCCCATGCAGGGCGACTCGAGTATGGCGGTGGAGTAATTATTATGAAATGGATCATCGCAGGCCCGGTTGGCGCCATTATTTGAAACGCACTTGAAACAGTCTATGCAATAACCTGGGGCAGGAGAGTTAAATGCAAATTTGAGAGTTTTATATAGCTTCGGCAATGTCATTTGCTTACCGTTGTGGATGAACAGCAGCAGCATTACCAGGCAGCAGCCTAATTCCATTGACGTGAGCGCCGCCATGATTGAAACAGTCTCGACTCAACACACGGCCTCGCAGATGATGCTGAAAGGAGGGGACTGTGTTATGTGGCCCAATGCCAATGCGGGCATTTCAGCATTTTTGGCCTGTAAGCAAGACAAAAATACATTATAACTGATTGATTATACGGCTTTGGTTGATGGCCGACAAATTGAAAATGTCAACGTCAAGACGTGGGCATATGCGAGTGTTGAGTTTTTCTCATTTTCATAATTGGCTTTTGTGGAAATCCCTGGTCTATTCATGAGTGAAGCTCAATTCTGATTTGGATTTGTCGATTCAACGCTTGAAAGCGTCATGCTCGTAAAAATCAAAAGTTAAGCCCCTCTCGCTCTCTATCAGTTGTCTGGCCCAGAGGCCATAAAAATTTGGCAATTGAAGAGAAGAAGACGCGCCGCCAGCCAAAAGGAAAGGTAATAAATTTTACAGCACCAATTTTTGACACAACTTTCGTCCGCTTTTTTGCGTGGACTCAACTGTGCATGGAGCTTGGGCGTGGTCGTGGTCCGCGGCGGGCACAGGCTGTGGCATATTTTTTATTGCCGAAGTGTAAATAATTGCTTTTCAGACGATTTTCGTGTTGAATGCGCAGCCATATTTCCTTCTTTTTTTTATGGTTCTTGTTAATGGTCATTGTTGTTATTGCTGCAATGGAAGGCGGGTGGTTGGCCGACTTGTCTTGTTCTACGATACTATAAATTATGACAAATGATTTAGACTTGCGAGCAGCAACCTGCCAAGAACTGTAGTTAAGTCAAGAGTTCATAATTTATGTGGCTATCGGAAACGTTTCAATAACCTGTCTATATATATCTCGTATTATGTTCACTTATGTGTTCTCCGCACATATTTACTTTTCGTTGCACTGCTGACAACACATGCAATACAACCCATTAACGGTGTTTGCCAGTCAATCACATTGCAGCACCTGCCTTGATGCATCACTAGCAAACACGATTCATTTCAGCGTGAAATGCGTCGAGCTATGAAAACAATCGATGCAGCGCCAACTAAATATCTATAAAGTAAACACGCTGCGGGCTCTATTCGAATGTGCCCAATGGCACTTCGGCATCTCGGTTATTGCTCTACATATGATTCATTTCGATGATTTATTACAGATTGCAAGCTTGACAGCTGCAGCGCTACAAATTATGAAAATCCGCATGGCCCACGGGTCGTATGTTTCACATTTTAGACACAATTGGCTGCATTAATTATACGCCCCGAGACCCCAGACACACTGTATCCTTGTGTGGGCGTCTGCTGTTGGGCAAGTAATTATTTACAAAATAAAGTAGCGTTACGTAATTAAAACAATTATTTACAATATATCTTAAGGGGCGTTAAGATTTTATTCGCGCTGTATTATAATTAAGGCTAAGTTTTATATGTAGAAAATGCAATATATATGATTCTTTCTACGTAATAATTCATTGTGGCAAGTTGAATTGAACTGTTAATATGTTCACCTGCACCTTCAGACAATGTAACCAGGTGTAATTAAATTGCGAAAGCCGCTCGCCTCTGCTCTTCACATGCCTCTTCTAATGCCACAATACTATTTGCAAATTACCCACTAAGCAGTCTAACAGGTTGACTACCTGGCTGCCTGACCTGATTGAGACGCTGGCTGGCACAGCTAGCTCACAGGAAACAGCATTCAGCACCAGTGGTGACGAAGCGGAAGCCAGTCAATGCCATACCAAGCCCCATACAACTGTGCTTGTTTCTTCCTCTTTTGATTCTATTCTATTCTATTCTTTGGCCAAAATGATGTTTACCTTCTGTGCATTGTGTTGTTGCCTGCGCTCGACTTTCTGTACCTCATAAATAGTTTATAAAGCATTGCCACTGTCTCTCACATCCTCACAACTGTAACACTCAGTTGTCCTCGTTGTCTTTGTCCTCTTTTAACGACTGCCAATGTGCTTGTTAGTTGCAGCCTCAATGTAGTTATCTTATTGTGTGTCTGTGGCAGGACTTATTTAATTTCGTGGCTACCTTTATGGCCAGGCAACGGCTAAGCTGCCTAGTCAGAGTTTATGACGAAGTAGAAAATTTATCCACGCTGAAGTGTGGAAAAGCGTTTGCTTCATTTCCTGGAACGCCTCAAAGGCAACTCAATGAGATGGCTTCTTCTACTGAGTATCTTAAAAAGTGAATGCTTTTCTGCACTCGTTATAGATCTCAACTTTTCTGCTCGAATGTATTATCAGGTTTAAATGGGAGGCAACGTGGATTGGCGCGTGGCGCCCATTAAAAATGAAAAATGACAAAGCCCTCGAGAAACCACAAGTCAGCTGAATAAAACCTTACTCCATTCTCCTAATGCTGGGACATTAATTTCTTAATCTGCTTGTAAATGGAGGTGGGTACGAGCGTATATGCTTCCTGCAGAGTCTAATTGAGGCTGACCAGGTGCAGGTAGGATGTGCCAAGCACCAGCTGCAAGGAAAATGCGGCTTATTATAATTTGGTTTATGTGGCTCTTGGTAAGTAAGAGTGGGAATGATTAAAAAGGAATTGCAAGTTAGCAAATACTTAAGTGAACACTCTTCGGAAAGTCTTAAGACAAGGAATTTGCTTTGTTTGCTGCTGCCTCTGGCTGAGTTTCTGCTTCTGCTGAAACCGAATGATTTATTATGATTTTGGCTTTGACAAAGATAATCTAGGCATAAGGAGACCTCTGCCTGGATTCGTTCGGCTGTCCTGTAGTCGACGTTTCAAGTCTTGTGATTAAGCACAATGCAAACTCGATATCGGCACAGTCATCACTCCCTCTGCCCCTCGCAGATGACAAGGGTTCGCAGAGTCAGAGGCGACAAAAAAGTCAATACAGGGGCAGACAAGCAAAATCTGGCCCAAAGTTTAGACAAAGGTCTCCCTTCGCCGAGACCCTGTGGCCCCTTGAACAGCCGCGTGTGTCATTGTGTCTTAATGGCCTGGAAGTAAATGCCACAGAGCGTCCATTTTACTGCTCAGCCTCGAGTTTCAATCAAAGTTGCAAAGTTTTTGTGCCTGCTCTTTTTTTGCCCATTTGCCCTGCCTTTCCCTGCCTGAATTTCAATTTCTGTCAAATTAACTTTAAATAAATTCAACTTAAACAAGCAAAAAGAGCAAATGGAAAACTTCCTGTGGAAAAGGCCAATTATTAAATTTAATTTTTGTCCCAAACTCTTAGTCATGGCGAAGTTATACTAATTGTCGTTAGCTGAAATATTGTCGCTTCTCATTGTGGGACAAATTAAATAAATGACTTTGTCCACTCAATTTCAATTGAGATTAGTTGACAGTTTTCATGTACTCAAAGCTTTGATATTGTTTGACGCATTCGTTCAATTTGCTCTGCGGGTCACGCTTTGTCATCGAGGCGAAATTAAATTTCATGCATGATAGCCAGTCACACACACTCGCATTTACACACACTCAAATACACAATTATACGTGGACACATCGGGGTAAACGCATTTGCATAGCTGCAACTTTATGTGGAAATTTCGTTGGTGCTGGAAAATGGGGAAACGCTGCGAATTGCATTTGCAATTTACATATACAATTTGCAGTTAGTTGCCGTCGTATGTGTGCCTGTGTGTGTATGTGTGAGAGGGACTGTGTGTGTGTGTCTAGATGTGATTCCTCCACACACTGATCAGAATGCAAACAATGTGATTGTCATGTGTTGAGAGCTGCTCAGTCAGAAAGTTATTTAGTTTTTCACTTTTATTGTTAAATTAATATGCGTTTAATGTGTGTTTAATTACTTTTAATGTCTGTTAGTTTATGACAAAGCAAACATAGAAGTGGCCAAAAATGCAAATGGACATAATTCTCAGAGTCAACATGTTGCATTCAATATTTAAAATGTCAATTTAATGGAAATTCTTGTTGCCATGAGAGTATTTTCAAAGAGAATTTAGATTTATTTAATCTGGCAGTTAGTTGGAGTTATGGAGAGTTCTCATCTGTTAACCAAAATTTTGATTTCATATCCACATATCCACAAAATAGTATCAAATTTAATTAAATGCTTCGTTCATAGAGTTTCCCTGTCGTGATTCCCTTTGAAAGCCAATTAACTGTGTCCTGTCTACTCCCAACTATCCCTTGCCCTTATCCTTTCTATCTTTGTTTATTGGCCATGCTGTGTGGGCCTTTAACGGAAAACGTTTAATGGACGCACACTCTGAAAATGTTGCAAGCTCACGAAAGCAAATTCGTCCAGGAAAGGAGCTACCCGAAATGGCAGGAGATTTATGTCAGGGTCATGAGAGCGCCTAAACTTAGTTTCCCTCTCTCCCTCTCCCTCTCCATCTCCGTCTCCCCTCTCTTTCTCTGTGTGTGTGCTTGTGTGGGAGCACACTGGTGAGCCAGCTTATTGCCATGCTTACCATTAGTTAAGCACTTAAGCCAATTTTTTCAATCAATGCGGCTTCCCCGAATTGGCTCTCCAAATGCCAGATGCCAATTTGAATATGCTTCGAGTGGCATTTGGACCATGCAATGTGCATAATCCCCCAATGTGCACTTGCCTGTCAAGCGTGAGCTATTGTGCGGGTGTCAAAATGAATGCAGCCAGGTAACCGCGAACCAACTGAACCACCAGCCGTGCAACTGCAACACAGATATGCTGCATTTGTGGTTGAGTCGCACGCACTCCGTTCTTTCTGCTGTCTGCTCTACTGTCGTAGCTGTAGCTCTGGCTCCGGCTGTGGCTGTGGCAGTCGACATAAATCAACAATGCGACATGTGGGCAGCTGGCAAATCCGCGATTTCAACCTCTAAACATTCCAATTACTAACCGACCATGACCACGACCACGCCCATATATAGTGCGATAATCAAATTTGCTGCAGGCTGCAGGCAGCTCTAATTGCTCTGGAAAACATTGGCGGCCGAATGATGAGGGCTTATCCATGGAAAGGAATATTAGAGAAGCTAAAGTGCAACTGGATTCTTATTGTATGCGAGCTTAAATGAACTGAAACTCGATGTTAGTTGAATATTCAAAATCAATTTAAGCCTTTATAAAATATTTAAATATCTTTCTTTGACTTCATCTCTTTTGAGCCCTTTGATTGGAATT